TTTATATTGAAGTCATATGTTGAAGAGGAACTAGATGAAAAAAATAATTCACCCATTTTACAGTCACATACATTGTGCTCTTCTTTTGTCCTATTTTACAGGTGGTCTTTACCCTGAATATCTTAAATGAAATTATTAACTCCATTATTATGAACGTATTGCAGCCTTTTGCACATGCTCCAGCAAATAGCATTATGGTACAGAGATGATTGCATAGCATGTATTTTATACCTCTCAGCCTTTATTCACTGAATATTAAAACATATTTGTTTTATTTGTAAAATTACTGTTGCCCGTGTTTAAGATCTGGCTTGTGCTTGCTTTGGAATACACCTGTGACTCTTCACACTAAACTCAGTGTACTACTATAACCTCTCTTGTTACAGATAAAAACATAATTCAGTTTTGGATCCAACATAAACAGGATCATTATGTTTGGAGAGTGTTCCAAAGCCTGCTATTCAAGCAATCTGTGACATATAAATAATGCAAGACCTCTTCTTTCTCCAGATGACTTCAGTTCAAGCACAGAAAGATGGAAGCCCAAATTTATACTGCCATTACAAAATTCAATCTATTTCTGGTTCTCCAATTGAATTATGACTCAGTCTTCCACTGTTTTCTATTAGCACCAACCCACACACTCCTACCCTTTGCCAACCCATGCAGAAAAACTTATTTGCGAATATTCCCCTGCTTTATTCTTATATTTAAAAGGCAGCAAATCCCAGCTAATCTGAAAAGCCTCATGTTTTCTTTTAAAGGAAAGTAAGGTAGAAAATTGGTCTTTTTTCCCCTCCCCTGACCCTTGACCTTTGAACCCCAACCTCCTTGCCACTAAAGCGTTCAACACCTCATTTAATCTCTCCTCGCTGCATTGGCACAGCACTGGAAAAGGGAAAAAAATAATCTGGGGACTTCATCAATTTTTCATGAATTTTCATTTAGGCCAAAGCCCCCTCTTACAGTGGTCGATAGATCAAGCTGCTGTCACATATTTAACACCTGGGGCTACAGCTGCTATCTCTGGGGGCTGCCGCTGACTCAGGCTAGATCAGAGGCAGCCCGAGTCAGTGCGAGGACCCTCATGCTCTTTCTCTTGCTTACATGTGGCGCCCCAGTGCTTGCAACTGAAATCCTAGCTACAGTCGCTATTGCAAATGTGTCTCCTGATACTCCCACTGGAAAACTCCAGCACATAGGTTCAATCGTGTCAATTCATACATTGTGAAAAAACGTGCTTTTATTTTAAAATATGAACTTTTCAAATACGAAAGCAGTTTCATAAAAGATCAAACTATTTCAAGCCTACTTCCCTTTCTAAAATCCTCCCAAGAAAATCTGAGCATCAACATATTTCTAATAATGCCAATATTGTTCAATTTCAATTAAAAAATTCTAATACACACAATCAAAAGAAAGACATTTTACTCTTGAATATAATTCTTTGTAGTTGTTTTAGAACTAGAACATTTATTTTTAATGATTTAACCACAAAACATACAAATACTACATCAGAATTTGCCACATACACAATGGAAGAATGGTTTTGCTGCTTGCATTAGCGTTATTTTTTCCTTCTGAGGAAGCTCCTCCTGAAAAAAGTAACCTGCACAAAGCACACCATGGATTAATGCATTAAGAGAAGAATGAAATAGAGTAAGTCGTATCAATCCTAAACTGTGCCTTCAAATACAAACTCCTATTCGTTACTAAAAATCTTCTGGAATAAAAACTTTCTAAATTAAAGGCAAAAAAATTCTAAAAGCACATTCTGTATGTTAACCATGTTTTTTAAGTAACTTCCCAAATCAAAGTTCTTCAGTTTCACTGGCACAGAGAAATTTTTCTGAGGACATACTTCAGCACAAAAATATCTGCCCTTGATTGTATGCACATGCTCTGAATAGCCATGGATTTAAAAGCATACTTAAATGCTTTGGATGGGCTAGTACCTTAATTCATCAAGTTTGGGAAAGGTGTTAACTGCTACTCCATCAAAAAGAGCTTAAGGACTTCAGCAACTTGCACAAAATCACTCCAAAGAAACAAGGGGCAAAATTATTGCATTCAAAATGGTCCACACTATGCTCTGAATCACTGTATGCCCCAGCTGAATTTCACTTAAGAGTTCTTCTTCTGTCTTTACACATAAATATGGATACATCAGAAGATTTTCAATCTCAGTGCTTTTGTGGCAGGTGCCCATGGGTGGGGGTGGGGGGAAGGAAATAGAAGAGAATGAACCACAATTAACACTGTTTATCATCTGAATGCGTAAGCATGAACACACTTAACAGATACATAAACCCAATAAATATTTCTTCATAAACCATTCAAAAGTTGCAAATGAACATTATTGGCGACTGACAATTTAATAAGCAAAGTAAAACAATTACTGGTTCTTTCACCAAAACAGCAGACTCAAGCATTTTAAACCTGTAAAAAGCAGCAGCTTGTCTCTAATGGCACAATTTGAGGCCACCTACAGTCAGATAATAATCCAAAACCCTGTTGTCAGCAAAGGACAACTGTCCTTTTTCTGGTGATGAAAACAGCTTGGCTTAGTGTGGAAAGAGCAGATTTCAACACCATTACAGATAGCACAAGGAAGACTCGATCGCATGCGGCTGTCCCAGCTCCTGTGGACAGGGCTGCACTCAACAGTTTTCAGCAGCAGTTGAGAACAGGTGAATGAGGACTCACTGCTGACAACAGGCTGTCAGCAGCAACTCATTTCCCTAGCGGGCAAATGGACTGGTACAGACCTGCCCATCTTCTTCAGTCCAGAAATGCTGACATTAGAAAAAACAGTTAAAAGCCTTAAAATAACTGTTCTCTGAAAGTCACTTGAAAACTTGATTTAGAACCAAAAAATCATATTAAAAAGTGTCTCAAAACTAAGGGAAACCAGGTAGTTTTGTAATCATCCTCCAGAGGATGCCTTTGATACACATGTTGAGCATTGCCACATGCTTTTAAACTCAGTGAACATAAAACCAGCAGAATCTCTAAAATTAACAAGCAATGGACATATTATTTACATTTTTTTTCTTTGACTAAGACCTTCCTGTAATCACAGCCACGGTATGGCTCAGGGAAAGACAAAGCACTGTTGCAGTGGAACAGGAGCGCCTGCTTTAGACTGCTAAACCATTTAGTTGGGGAATTCAGTCAGTTAAATTTCAAAGCTATGAAAACAGTAAAATAATCTGGTGTCAGGCGCACGTTGCTCTTGCAAAAACTTTGGCTATGGTTTCAGATCTCAGGTTTCATGTTCTATGATCCTGCTCTAAAATACCTCTGACAACGAAACACTCTTTTATTATTTTTCAAATCTTCTACTATCTCACATAGAGTTCATGCATGACCTGCCACCAGCTACAGTGGTTAAAACAGTTACTCCAGAGACTGGGGATATTGTAACAAGAGGCTCTCAGCAGCCACTGAAGTAGGGATCAGTGAAAACTAACGAAATATAGAGCACCTTTAAATTTCAAAATAACCAGTCACTTTAATTTGATGACTCCAGGTATAACTTGAACAATCTTCTGAACTTCGACAGGAGATATCTGGTTGTAGGATTGCAATAAAGATTTCAAAGCATTTATGCCTCTCTCATAGGATTTCTCAACAGTTTAAACACCACATGTACAAAGACAGAAATAATCCAGTAAATTTGTCTAGAGTCATACTCACCAAGATTTCGGCCTTCCTTAAATTGGTTGTCTTCTCGATTCCTAAATACCTACCAAAACTGAATAACATTCTGTGATGCCTTTATTGGCAGATACACATTTACTCGCGCCTCGAATGTGTGCCAAAACTGTTTTCATTTTTTGTTTGAAACAGCTCTGAGTCTAGGTTATGCCAAGTAAAAGGTAGTGAACAAGTCTGTTCTACTTGGCCTATACCACCATCTAAATATTTCAAAAATGGCATTTTGTGCAATTTCTGAGAAGACTGAAGCCTCAAGGTCACATAACATTAGCTATAGAAGTCTGCAGACTGCATCAGGAATAAAGACTTCTCTTCTGTGCCTCCCCCCCCTTTAAACTAACATAACTTCTAACGTGTACTTAAATCCATTCTTTATCAACTAAGCAATACAAATTTGTGCTAAAGCCCTACTTCAGTCAAACACATTTTAGTGAAACTACTGCCATATGAAGAACTGTGGGAGAAAAACTGAAGTCCAGCAAGAGAAAAGCATTCATAAATCTACTAAAATACACCTTTATGTGAAGATACACAGCTATCCTTAGTTGATATTCTGAATAACTAAGCAGCAAAAAATAATGTACAATGTATTGTATTTTATGTATGATTAGCTTGTTTGCTATGTGACTATAATGAATGTCTCTGCTAACTCTACTGGAAGCAGATCATGCATGCCGGGTGGTCTCGAAAGAGCCATGATGACTTCTCTGTTAAGACAAAGAGAATCGATAAATAAGACTGCTCTGGATGATATGAGAAATGGCCAGCAATTTCACTTGCCATTCACATAATGAATGAGGCCTGTATCAAGTTTATGACAGAGCATATATTGAGCTTTCCAGCAGTACAGAACATGAGTCACCAAAAAGCTGTCTGCTTCTGTTGAGGTAACAGATGACTAGATAAAGAGAAACAGACAGTGCACCTTATATTAAATGATAGGTATTTTTCCACATTAGTTTCAGTATAACCAACTTTAGTCATAATTTACAAATTAGATTATTCTTTAGAGGAAGATTAGCCTTTGTCCGTGTTTGTGCCAATCATGATTATACACTGGCTAGAACCTTGCTTCAGTATAAATCACGTATTCTGTACGACCACTGCTACTGTATAAACACATGTAGAAATGACTTGACCAAGAACTACAGCTAATGACAAAATGCCATACTTATCTACATTTGTTATCTCCCAGACTGCTGACTGTGTACAAGTGCTGGATGACAGCATAAAAGCAACTATAAAGTTTTACACAGTGCTAATCATACAAAACTACTCACATGCCACTTCCAGAGATGCATTGCGACTCACAGCTTCTCCAAGATAGTTCCTTGCTACGCAAACATAACTTCCTTCGTCAGGTTTACTCCTACGTCCATGCACGATACGTAAGAAAAATAAAGATCCGCTGGGCAGCAGCATGCGGTGGGAGCGCGGATCATCCTTGTCCGTTTCCACTCGCTCTCCATCCTTGTACCACTCAATAGTAGGAGTTGGCCGTCCTTCAGCTTTACAGTTCAGAGTTGTTGGCTCTCCTTTAGAGACTATCACATCTGAAGGATGCTCAACAATCCGTGGTGGAAAGTCCTCCTGGCGGAGACGGGATCCTAGAGAAAAAGAAAAGGAGGGAGGGAGGAAAGAACAATTTATTTTAACTTTAGGCTTCACAAAGAGTTCTCACAAGTTACTCTTAATGCCACAAAAATTTTCAAAGAAAAGAAAATACGAAAACCTGTACACATCCGATATTGTTCTGTCTTATATCAGAGAATTTCAAAGCTAAAAAACTGAGTTGGACTACAGATATACACCTCGAAGGCATTATCAAATCCATACCACATGCAGACTGGGCTTAAAGGAGGATGTCTTACACATACGTGCATGATGATCTTTTCCTTGTTCCAATAATCTTTCTATTTACATTTGCTTCTAGATCCCTGTGTGCTTCCAGATTCCACTCATGGCTACCATCTCCCATCCTTTCATCTGGCAGACTCAATAGATGGGCATCCAAAACCACTGTGTCTTACCACCCATTGGCTAACAGCTCTTTATAGTTTTATATGTATGCATTGTATCCCTTTTCCACAAACAGCTCAGGTATAGAAACAGAAGGAAAAAACCAATCCCAAAACAAACAAAAACCCACAACTGAAACCTGCAAAGTATTCCTTCCCTCATAAATTTCTAGTACAACTGTTGGCAACTTTAACTGTTCAAAGTGTCTGAAGTCATTCATGAGCTCTATTTTTATTTGGAAGTCTCAAATGTCAACTGCACTTTAGAAATTTTCAGTGGATTGCATGCATATACACACACATACAAATACAATATAGGCAGACACGCACCTGAAAGGTGCATTGCAAGCACCAGTGTCTGAGAAATCATTGTAAGTCCATTTCCCTTTTTCTTCTCTCTGTATTCATCCTTTTCTTCACTTTGATTTTTGGTGTCCATAATTTTTATCTGCAAATGTACTTTTTCTAACCCATTTGCAGTATCCCTGAATTCCTACCAACACTGCATCGCAACCCTGGTTACGTGGTTACCAAGAGTTGAACAGCTCCAGCATTTCTACATAGTGTACCTAACCAGGGGTCTGAAACCCTGGATTAGCCCTGAGAGCACTCCAGGGGCTCAGTCTGAGCACAGCACACCTTGGAAAGAATGTGGTTATACTTTTTCCACTTAAATTTTTTTCAGTACTAAGGGTTAAGTAAAAAAATTAATCTCTCTATCACTGGAAAGTAATACAACTCAAAGCATCTTCTTCTTTCAACTGCCCACCAAAAATACTATTTTTAACTTTACAATACTGATGACAAATATGCCATCATTAAGCCTTCACAACTATCAGGACTACTAGGTATTGATAAACACTAATTTTGTGCTCTCTACAATAGCAACTTTGTGCCTTGCTCTGTACTTTTCTGTGCAGCCACTTCAGCACACTGTTCTTCTGCCCTTCTGTATTTCCTTTACATTCAGTTGCCTTCCCACTGCCTGGGGCAGGGAAGCAGCAGAGCCTGAACATTGTCTTCCACCTTCTCCAATGAAACCTTACCCTGTCACTCAAGTCCTGGAATAAGGAAGAGAGGTACAGGTGGACCCAAGACCCTATAGAAGTAAGGTACGTGGAAGAGATTTGTGCTGCGTGTGCCACCCTGGAGAAAGCCCCAGTGCCAACCTTCCATTACAGCCTTTACCATGTAGTGCAATTGCACTAAGACAAGTCACAGCATCCCAATTTTCCACTGAACTCTTGTCAAAAAAATTCAACAGTATCACAACACTAGCTAAATTTTGCAATACCCTGTTTCTGAAAAAGATAATAATCCTTTCACAAATGTTATGCTCCTCATTACAGCTATTAACAGACAAATTTAGAGATGAGTAAATGCAAGAACAGTGTCACCCAACAGAAAACCAAAGTCCAGCACTCCTAACTTCAGCATCAGTCATTCAGATATAGTTCATTACTGCATATTTAATTAGCCTATATTAGCCTGACAGAGTTTTTCTGCAACAAACACACCACGGTAGTTTGTGCCTTTGCATTGCCTCTCATAAAAATGAAGTCAGCTCTCCTAATTCATAGACTCATAGAACAGTTTGGGTTGGAAAGGACTTGTAAAGGTCATCTAGTCCAACCCCCCTGCCATGGGCAGGGACATCCTCAACTAGATCAGGTTGCTCACAGCCCCATCTAACCTGACCTTGAATGTTTCCAGGGATGGGGCATCTACCACCTCCCTGGGCAACCTGTGCCAGTGTTTCACCACCCTCAGCGTAAAAAATTTCTTCCTTATATCTAGTCTAAATCTACCCTCTTTTAGTTTAAAGCCATTCCCCCTTGTCCTATTGCAACAGGCCCTAATAAAAGTTTGTCCCCATTTTTCTTGTAAGCCCCCTTTAATTGCTAGCACAGATCATCTTTTCTAGCATGGATCCTGAAAATCCTTTGAGTGGAGCTGCCACACTAGTACAATTGGACTGCACTTCTTAAATACAAGGTATATCAGCTTCTTCAGGTTAGTGAAACATTTGTCTCAATTTTCTGATCAGTAGTTTCGCTGAGTCATAGAAAAGCAATTTAACATCAGTATCTTAATTATATTCTAGGCACTACATATTTAAAAATATTGTCAATGCCTCATTTACTCAAAAAGTTATGAGGAAAGGAATAAGGATCCATTCTATGGAGTGAATCCACGTTTGGACTTCCATTTTACTAAGACTCAGGTCATTAAACTAAGGCTTGCCATAGCAATAAGGTATTATACCACTGCTGCACAAAGGGACTCTTTCAGTGGCTACCAGATCCTATTACCAGTACAGCAAAGATATCCATAATCTGTACTGCCAGTATACGAAAAAACACAATTTATACCTAAGCACAGATAAACTTAGAGCATATTCAGAAAAGAAAGATGTCTTTTATTCCCCCTTCTATTGACAAAAAGACATTTAAAATCTAACAGAATTTGCAGTTAAAAAGTATCTCTAGACCATGACCCCATACACAGCATTGAAAAAGACTGAAATCACCATTAAAGTAAAAGATTAAAAATTTCACGGTACATGGGACTAAAAAGCAAACTTCATACATTGACTAGAGACATATATAATACTCTCCACACAAGTCTACCAACTTACTTCGTTTCTTTGTTTCTTTTGAGAATAAAACCCCACTAGTGTTAAGAAATTCCTACTAACAGTATCAGTAAGAACACCAAAGCTGAAGTGTTTCTGAAACTTTAGAGGGACTTAAGTCAGAGAAGAGAACAGATACAACTAAATTTTGATAAATGGTTAGCAGAGTGTAACAAAATTAGTAGCAAAAAATGCAAAATGCAAGTCCAAAATATTAGTTTTCTTATACACAAAGGTTTGTTGATAATGTTCAAAACTCAAAGTAGTACATTCTACAGAGAATTACAGGCCATGTTAAATCCTTTTGAAAGGGCTTTCTCCCATAAAGAGTTAAACCTTCCATATCATCCAGCCCAATTCAAAATCCCTCCTCAGGTCATAATAGGACTAATTCTTCCTCTTCAGTACTGAAGTTTATCACAAAACTAATGTTTACCTCACTCTATCCTAATTAAGCAATTTGTGCTCAAGAAAGGGTTGAGATGTGGGCAGCAGAGACCATGCCAATCAACAAGGAGAAAGGCTCAGGCTGTGTTCTGAGGGGGGCTCATACCAAGCATTCCTGTGATGGCTGGGTGTACCTTCAGCTATCTCATGCTGCAAGCTGTTTCCTTCAGTGTGCACTTAAGAGGGGGGAAGACAAACACACATAAGAAATCAATCACAGAGCACAGCAGACCCCCTCTTTCAAAACTGAACTGAGCACCTACACCTATTCCAGAAGGATACTCCGATTTAGAAAGAACAAGCAAAACCAAAAACTCGACTCCATTGCCTCTCTTCTGGCAGACACAGACAGTATCTACATGCCAGAAAGTGACAGCCCCAAATGGTGTTTTCCTGGCTGAGTTTTGATTCTTCCACTATGGCTCCCCCCCACCCCACCTCCCAATACTCTTACAAATACAACCTAATTTAGAAGGAATGGAAAAATTATTAACCCCCTGAGCTAACTGGGCAGAAGATGATACTTTTCCTTTTACTGGAGGGTGAGATGGAACCATGATCTACTCAAGATGATAAGTGGTTGCACCGAAGAAGGCAGCTGGTGTGTATCCTGGACTACCCGTGCAGTTTCCTTCTCCATTCTTCCCTCAAGGATTTCCAATACGGGAATATCTCATGCATGCATAGAGCATGTGAATAACCCCTGAGTTTGAGAATCCCTAAGTAGTCATTACTATGATGGACTCCAATGACTTCAAATTAGCTGTTACATGCTGTTGGGCAAAAACACGCCTTTGGAAAAAATCCTACAGTATCATGACTAAACTGAAAGCTGCCATGAAGCTGCACCTATGAAAAGGAGAGCTTTAACACTTACTTGAATACATACTTAGAGTACTCTAATACTTGCTGTACATGAAGGTCCACATAGCTATTGCAGATGACTGGTTATTACACATCTCGAGAAGATTAGTTTCATATACGCCCCATCAACTACTTCACAGAGAAAGTTTTAGGCTCACCTTTTTGCTTATTACTTCATAGAATAATTAAAACCACTGTTCAAAAACAAAAAAACCAAAACATACACAAAAAAAGATAATGTGCAAGTCTATTATAGTACCTTACCTTTAATATTAATGTTTCCTTGTTCATACTGCAGCATTAAACAAAAAGTTACTAAGATAGCTCCAACAAAAGTCAAGACATAAGCCATCTCTGTTTAACTTACCTCTATACTTTTATCCTGGTGTACCTTTAAAACCTTGTCTTATATTTTACAAATATTTCTCCCATACACTGTGTAATTCACAATTGCAATTCATTACTGAACATAGTTCAGCAGTAAAAAGGATTATCTCATACAAAAGCAAAAAAAGAACAGTGATTCTACTGCACTTCTAGCATCTGCCGCAACACGAGATACTCCTACATTAGCACTAGTATAAAAACAAGGGAAAAAACCCAACAGGTGAAATTATAAAAGAATCAGATATAATGACATTGTGTCTCAATGCTATCAGGCAAAGCACAAAAAGCACAGAAAGTAAGTACAGCATTCAACTCAGTGTCATCTGGAACACTGCTAATCACACACCCCAGCAATATGCGTGTGATTGTTAGTTTTGCGTGTGAGAATCTAAGCCAGAAAGAGGTGGATGAGGATGGTATGTAGTGAAGGTATAAACAATCTTATTGTCTTTGGATTTCAACATTAGTTCAATATAATAGCCTGGGGTGGTGAGTGGGAGGGGGGTGGGGAGGGTGGAAATAAATAAATAAAAATCATTCTGCCTTAATGCTGTTGAAATTCCCGATAAAGTTTTGCTAAGACCATGCTATAACCAAAACCACCACATGTTTACACTACTTTACTAGATAGCTCAATGTTCTCTCCTTCCAACACCTTTTTTTTATGGGGATAAGGCAAAGAAGGAAGGAAGCAGCATCTGCAGGCAGCTTCTGATATCTACTGATAAGAAACATATTAGTAGAAATAATTCAGGCTCTTTCAGAAAATATGGCTTTGGGACAGATGTGAACTCATATAAATGGCATAGTAGAGTGGATGCTACCAGAGCTAGAAAGCCTAACGTGGGTGAGGTGCTCAGGCAAGATTTCATTAATAACCTAAGTTACCAAGTCCGATAGTCATCAGTGGGTAAATCAGAACTACTGCCAAGTAGCAGGAGACAACTGATGGAACAGCATTAATGCACCCCTTTATCCCACATGTTAATTTTTCATCCTAACAGATTAAAATATTTTCACTAGTTTCTTCCCAGGTAAACAGCAAAGTAAGACTATATTGCTAATTGTTTGCTGTTGTTCATCTTCACCCTGTTTGCTCTTGTTCA